CAAAAATGTTACAGTAAGCTAATTTATTGTCGAAGAAAGAAATCTTTTAAAAAACAAATTTAGTGTAGCCTAAGGGTACAATGTTTATAAAGCCACAATAATGTATAGTCATCCTAGACCTTCCCATTCACTCACCACTCACTTGCTGACTCATCCAGAGCAACTTCCAGTCCTGCAGGCTCCATTCTTGGTTAAGTGCTCTATGCAGGTGTACCATTTTTATCACTCCCCCATTGCTGGATGCTATCTTTATGAGATGGCAGGAGTACCTCTTCTCCTACCTTACTCACCACGTCTAGCCTAGACAGTCACCCCCGTTAAATGGCAGAGGAAATACAGTGACAGCTGGCTTTCTGGAAAATGTGATACTCACAAGGTAAGATATAAAGATGGCAAATGGAGACGAGTCCTGGCCGTATACTAGGGACGGTGATATTTGTGTATTATAGCATTCTGTGGTATGCCACCGACTCAGCGGTGTTAGGAAGCACCTAGGACTGCAGAGCTAGCACAGAGTGAAACCTTCTGGAACAAGGGGCTGAGCTGGGAACATCCACTGACATGGCAGCAACAAAAATATAGCCATGAGCCACATGACAGGGAAAAGACAAACTGATGAAAGTGGTCTATTTGTCAATATCCAGAGTGTATAGATCCAGCCTCATTTAGGAATAAGAAAGGAGAAAAATATTAATTTGACATCATGGAAAAATGCTGAATAAAGTATCTAATATGAAATATCATAGAGACTTGTGGATTCAATGACAAATGTTGTGTCCCTAGAAAACTTATACAAAGATCACTGAATTAACATGATATAATCATCCATGCATAGGCAAAACTAGGCCAGCCCTTCACAATACTCTTTACAAATGCTGACACAAAGAGGGAACTACTAAACATCAAATCTAATATTTAACATTGATTTACAGTATCCAACTATTAAAAACTACTAAAGACTATTCTAGAAGTATTAAATATCACTTAACATGTTGATGATGCTATGCTGTGAATGAATTGAAATTGTACGTGTTTATGTGATTTTTTTTTTTTAGGTGAAGTAACGTATTTTTCTTTATCATTTAAACCACTTTGAGTAAGGGGTTTATGTTACTTGAAGCCAAAGGCATTCTAATTATACAAAGTTCTTTAAGTTGGTAATTTTTATGTTATGTGTTTTATTTTTTAATTCCATAGGTTTTTGAGTGAACAGATGGTATTTGGTTACATGAGTAAGTTCTTTAGCGGTGATTTGTGAAATGTTGGTACACCCATCACCCAAGCAGTATACACTGAACCTAATTTGTAATATTTTAGCCCTCATCCCCTTCCCACCCTTTCCCCCTGAGTCCCCAGAGTCCACTGTATCCTTCTTATGCCTTTGCATCCTCATAGCTTAGCTCCCACTTATGAGTGAGAATATACAATGTTTAGTTTTCCATTCCTGAGTTAATTCATTTAGAATAATAATCTCCAATCCCATCCAGGTTGCTGCAAATGCCATTAATTCAATTCGTTCCTTTTTATGGTTGAGTAGTATTCATATAGATACGTGTGTCTGTGTCTGTGTGTGTGTGTGTGTGTGTGTGTTTATGCAGTTTATACACTCATTGATTGATGAGCATTTGAGCTGGTTACACATTTTTGCAATTTTTAATTGTGCTGCTATAAATATGTGTGCAGGTGTATTTTTGTATAATGACTTCTTTTTCTCCAGGTAGATACCCAGTAGTGGGATTGCGGGATCAAATGGTAGTTCTACTTTTAGTTCTTTGAGGAATCTCCACACTGTTTTCCACAGTAGTTGCACACGTTTACGTTCCTACCAGCAGTGTAGAAGTATTCTTGTTCTTTTTCACAGCATCCACACCAATGGCTTTTTTAAATTTTTGATAATGGCCATTCTTGCAGGAATAAGGTGGTATCACACTGTGGTTTTAATTTGCATGTGCCTGATCATTAGTGATGTTGAGCACTTTTTCATATGTTTGTTGGCCATTTGTATATTTTCTTTTGAGAAGTGTCTATTCATGTCCTTAGGCTACTTTTTTATGGGATTTTTTTTCTTGCTAATTTGTTTGAGTTCTTTGTAGATTCTGGATATTAGCCTTTTGTCAGATGCACAGATTGTGATTTTTTTTAAAGAATAAATGTTATTGTGTATATTTATGGTATACAATATGATGTTTTGGGATATACATACATAGTAATAAAAAGGCTACTATACTGAAGTAAATTAAAATAACCATCATCTCTCAGAGTTACTCATTTTCTCTTTTTGTGGCAAGAGCAGGTAAACTTATTTAGTATGAATCCCAAATACAGTATAATTTTATTACCCATAATGCTCATCTTGTACATTCTGTCTCTAGACCTGTTCACCCACCATGCCTGCTACTTTGTGCCTCCGATATCCCTATTTACTTTCTCCATCCACCATCCCCCTCATCCCTGCTAACCACTGTTTTGTTCTCTCTGTATATTTGAATTTATTTTTAATATTCCATATATGAATAACATCATGCAATATTTCTCTTTCTGTGTCTAGCTTAATTCACTTGGCATAATGTCATCCAGGTTCATTCATGTTGTGGCAAATGGCAAAATCTCATTCTTTTTATGGCTGAATTATATTTTATTATATTAAATGGTGACACACACACACACATATCACAGTTTCTTTATCAATCTCTCTGATGATGGACAAAGGTTGATTCTTACAATATGTTTTATAACTCCAAGAATTCCCTTCAGTTATTATACTGCAAGTCAGAGTCACATAATTCCATAGTGAGCTCATAAATGTAGACTAATATAGAATTGCTCAGTGGATTAAGTTTTGGTACTTAAAATGTTTCCATCAATAGTAATTAGAAAGATGTTAATTTTCATAAATATACATTTTTAACATTAAGTATAAATGAAATTCGACTTTTTAAAACTTTTGGTGGTTTTTAAGATCTGTTGTTCTTTGAGCTTCATAGTCCTTGCAAATAACTACTCATGATGAAAAAGACGGCCAATTTCGAGCAAGAAATTATTCCCCAAAGTTTGTTTCTACTATCAACCTTTTAAAAGGAATAATGATAGGAGATGATGAACTTATACATCAATATGACTTTAACATGGCAGTCAAAAATCTTAAAAAATATATACCTCAAGGAAAAATATTATTCATAATTTATTAATGAGGAAAATATAACTATTCCTAGTCGTTGTATATACAAATTATTTCATCTTCAACCAAGCACTTCTAAAATGCTTTTTCTTCAATAAGCCATTCATTATTATTTTCATGTGAAAAAGTTAGACAGATAAAAAATAAAAAGGAAAAGGGAAATGGAATGCTGCAGTTGTTTTAGACTCGTAAACAGAGCAGTAGAGTTTTTCTCATCAATTGCCTGTGACCTTGCAAAGGATACACAAATCATCTGTCTTTATTTCCCATTAGGAATTAGCAGTCTCTATTTAATTTTTTGGCTTTTCAGCTTTCAGTTAGAAGTTTCACACACACACACAAAACAATAGGCTGCTAATCATAGTGTTATATAAACGTTGATATCAAAGTACTGAGGTAATTAATTTATCTCTTGGATTTCGCTATAGAATATTCTGGTTACTATAGAAGTATTTCTTTAATTTGTTGTAGTCATCAAAGACAATATAATTCTTACAGCTGTGTTTGTTATTTTATTACTTGACAACAAATTGTATTTGCTATTTCATTGCCTCCGAGTACAAATACATAATTGATTACCTATAATGAATCTGTTGGAAATTGGCTACAGGGAAATGCAGGATTATTAAATTATTACAGAAATCTTTTTGGTTAATCAAGTTTATACTCTTCATAGCTGACCCTCCCCCATTCTCCCCTTTTCCTCACCAGCAGAACCCAATTTTGACTGGTTTGTCTACTCTTCCCCTTTGAAATCTAAGTGTCTTGGGCAAAGTTGACCCTACCCCTAGCTTATAGAATGAGGTATGATTAATAGAAACCAACCAAAATACTTCTTGGTGTCTGTGGGGAACTGGTTCCAGGACATCCCTTGAACACCAAGATATTAAAATGCTCAAGTCCACTGTTAAAAATGACACAGTATTTGTATATAACCCACACATATCTGTAGAATTTAAATCATCTCCAGATTACTTACAATAACTGATACAACGTAAAGGTAAGTAGTTATTACACTGTATTGTCTCGGAATCATGACAAGAAAAAAAGCCTGTACACGTTCAGTACAGGCACATTTTTTTTCCTGAATATTTTTGATTCATGGATGGTTGAATCTATAGATGCTGAGTCCAGGGAAGGCTGATTGCACTACCACATTTTTGGCCAGAGATTGGTTTTAATGGTTCAGGATTATGCTAATCAAGACTTGGTGGGTTCTTCAGCTAAACTGACCTCATCAGTCCAGAGGAACTTCTGTTTCATTGTGATGAGAGGGATTCTCTGTGTTTCTTTCTCTGATCCTCTGTCTTTTTATCTCAAGTGAGGTAGGAACAAGAACAGTTGCTGCCCAAGTCACTGCTAGTACACATCTCATGGAAAAAAACCAGTCTGAGGACAGAACTGACACATCAGAAAGATCCTGACCCTATGTGCCTGGCCTCCCTGCCCTCCACCTTCTCCTATCTTGTTACAAGAAGTGAACCATTTATTTATGATTTAAATGAACTAACAATTTTATGGTTTTTATTTATTTATTTATGATTTAAATGAACCATCTTTCTATGGACAAATTAATATTTTTAAGTTTAATTTCCTTAAGTTCTTTCATGAAAGGATAAATCACTTGAGGCCCAAAACATACCCTAGTCTGAGTTCTTTGTTCTCACACACCTTTGTTCTCCTACCTCAGCTAGTGTGAGATTTCCTGGTTCTCCAAACTAAAATGTACTTTAATCAGAAGTCATCATTAGTCCTAACAGGTCAAGATCCTTCAGGAACCATCATATCCAGACTTGAAATTGACCCCAATGACATGACCTACCTTGGGCATGCAGATGACCAGATGACCTGTTGTCTGAGATCTTTTAGCAGAGCTGCTATCAGGTTTCACTTCTGCAGGAAGGACAAGCTGAAATGGCTGAAAATAAGTAGAGAGTATCACTGAGAGCAAGGTCGTTACATGAAAGGGTTGCTACAAGGGGTATTTTCATTACAAATTTAAGGTACACCATTCAGTTAAGAAACGTGCTTAAACTTAATAAAAATGTATATGAGCTATGCTTGCTATGCATGAACTATTTTATCTATTTTAACAAATAGTCTAAGAACAGTTATCAGTCACAAACAGTGAAACGTTCATGGGTTCATTTAAGGCTAAAAAGTAATTTATAGAGAAAACATTGTCAAAACATAAACATATTTCCATTTAAAAATCTTCAAGCTAATCTTCAAACCCATAGGAATGCTCTAAAGTAAAAAATGGTATTTTAGAAATAATAAAATTATAGTTGTTATGAATGAAATCATTTACAACTTAGAATGGGTGTACTATTTAATTTCATACATAGGCTCCCACACATGTGATTATGTTATTAGCTTTGAAAAAGTATACCACAAAACCACAGATTTAAAATATTAATGATATTCAACTACGTATGGTCAGTAGCCATTCCCACCATATACCACTCCAATGAGATGAAACCATGTGCTAAAACGTAGCACTCTATTCAGTTTCCCTTTTTCTATTTTTGTTTATTTATTTATTTATTTTTGAGGCAGAGTCTCACTCTAGTAGCCCAGGCTGGAGTGCAATGGGCGATCTTGACACACTGCAACCTCTGTCTTCCAGGTTTAAGCGATTCTCCTGCTTTAGTCTCCTGAGCAGCTGGGATTACAGGCATGAGCCACCATGTCTGCTAATTTTGTATTTTTAGTAGAGATGGGGTTTCACCATGTTGGCCAAACTGGTCTTGAGCTCCTGACCTCAGGTGATCCACCCGCCTTGGCCTCCCAAAGTGCTGGGATTACAGGCATAAGCCACTGCGCCTGGCCCCTTTTTCTATTTTAATAATACTTAAAAAAAAAATGGGGGCACCGCAGCTTAGTTCAAAGCTTAGCCTTTGAAATTGTAATAGTCTACAGGGTTCTACTTACCTTTCCTTTGATCATTACTCGTACGTAAGTTGGTTGCACATCAACATCAATTAAAGAGGTATCCATATATCTTCAAAATTAAATACACAAAATCTTACAATTTTAAAAAATATCAAGTTTGAAGAACTGTAAATACAAATTCACATTTATAGAACCATTTTAAATGAAGGACATTTAAAATATCTGTGCTAACCAGGTCTTTACAAATTAGCCTTAAATTAATCCCCAGACCAAAGGAAATTCAACATATCAGCAATTTCATTTTTAGACCCACAAGTACGCTTGGCATTGATTGCCCCTAACCCAAAAATATCCGAGGTCTGAAAACACCAGAGGTTTGCAAAAAACAGCTTGCCATGCTCTTTCATGAATATTTTATTTTAAGCCCCTAAGACTTGAATAGCCAGGAATGCTGATTCCACTCTGCTTGAGGCCTGTACCCACCAGCTCCTGCTTCCCTGGTGGCTCTGGATCCCCTGCAGCTGTTCTGCAGCTGCCCTGATACTATCTCTCCTGGAAAACTAGCTTGCTTTTCCCCCCGCAAAGGCATATCCTGCTGAATAAGCAAACGCTTCCATTTATGGCAGTGACCCCAAGATCAGGTGGCAATTATTCTCTTCCACTCATGAGCAAATAAAAGATTTAGATTTCACATCACTCATTAAAATCAGAAGCTTAGCCAAATAATTATGCTCATATATTTCAAAATACTAATTGTGAACATTAGAAAACACAGAACTCTTTTAAAAATCACAAATGTTATGGCAGGTAAGCTAATACAGGGGTTACAGACATAGGTTTGAAGCCACACAGGCTTGTGGGGAAATGGCTCCTCCCCTTCCTGCTTTATTACCTGGGACCACATTCTTTAACCTCTCTAGGCCTCAGTTTCCTCTTCTATAAAATGGGAATACTACTAGCATCTAGCCCTAAGATTGCTAGGAAGGAACATGCATAGTACCCAATATATAGCTAGTGTTAAAAATGTATTATATATGCCATTTAAAAACAATTTCTACAACTTCACATGTGATATGTATGCTTTAATGAATAATATATTATTTTCCATGCTTGGATCCTTAAAATATTCATGTGTCTTTACCTATAAGGTCTTTCTCTGCCAGAAATAATCTTCTGACAGTTTTTTGCAGAAAAGCTACTTCTCATTCTCCAGTTGTCACTGCTCATGCCACCCTCTTTCCCTGACCACTCCCACACAGCATTATTCCCATCCCTAAACACTGTCCCTTTCCTTGACAGCATCCTTCTTCCTTTGTAATCATTAGATGCCTACTGATTGTCTGTCCTCCTCCCCCACTGGGCTCTAGGTGACAGGAGATCATGGCTGTATTTAGAACATGCCAGTTATAGTCTCCCCATGCCTGGCACATAGTAGGTATTCTATAGATTCTTGTTGAATAAAGGCAGGAAGCAGATGTGAATGAATGAATTTAACTTTCAAGTATACACCCATGTGCCCATAAAGATAACCAGGAATTATAGCATAATTCATTTGGACAGAATCATGGAAATGAAAGAGATTTACTACCTAGACCGGAGAAATACTACCACCCCTTAAAATGCACATGCATGGGAATGAGGAATGTTTCATTTGAGGACTGAACAGGAAGCAGCCAACAGCTGAAAAAGAAAGGGTTGTACATTCATTAAACTCCAGACACAGGGCCTAAAAATGGAAAGGACTTACAAGCATGAAACAGTGATTTGTCTGGAAAACAGTAGAAATGGCAGCTTGGGAAGCTGGAGGAGCAGAGGATATGAAGCTAGCTAGAGAAGAGCTGGGAGCTTTGTAAAGGCAGATGACCTGGCAGCAAGCAGGCAGAAGAACTGACAGGAGGTGTGGAAAGGCACGCAGCTGATCAGAGACAGCTCGGTGCGGAGAGGAAGGGACCACACTAAGAGTAGCCCTGGTTCACAAAAGCCAAGGTGGAAACCACCCAAATGCCCACCAACTGGTGAACAGATACACAAAATGTGGTATATCAATGCAGCGGAATACTGTTTGGCCATAAAAAGGAAGGAAACTCTGACATATGTTACAACACAGATGAGGCTTGAAGACATTATGGTAAGTGAAAGAAGCCAGTTACAAAGGCCACGTGTTGTATGATTCCATTAATATGAAATATACCAAGTAGGCAAATCTACAGAGATAGAAAACAGATTAGTGGTTGTCATGAAGAGGGAGAATGGGCAGTGACTGCTTAAGGGCCATGGGGTTTCCTTTTGGGGAGATAAATATTTTCTGAAACTAGACAATGGTAATGGTTGTACAATATTGTGAATTTATTAAATACCACGGTGGTGTCAATTTTGAAATAGTTAAAATGATAGATTTTAAGTTGTGTATTTTATCACCATCAAATCAGCAAAGTTGGAGTCCTGAGGGTTGATGATCTGGCTCCTTCTATCCCTGTTTACTTTGACAAGACTCACTCTTGGAAAATTTACTCCCTCTTGGGTAATAATCCCTCCTACCTCCCAGGGTTACTAAGAGATTAAATAAACAGGGGCACATTGAAAGCCATTAAAAAGAGAAAGCCACTTATTATAATTCATGCATGTAAACATTCATCCATTCACTCACACATGTAAATGTAATACTCCATCATCGGTATTCATTCATTCATTCATTCATTCATTCATTCTTGTATTTATTGAGCACCTAACAGGTGCCAGGTATCATTTTAGGTGTGGAGACATAGAGATGACAGAACAAACAAAACAAGTTTCCTGCTCTAACCACAAATTTTAATACAAGTAAATTTACACTTTGTCAGCAGGAAACCAAAAAGCAGGAAGAGTGGAAGGAAGTGCTGGGCAGGGGTAGGTATTGCTTTATGTTAGATGGCGGGGCAGAGAAGCCCCTCTAATGAGGTTAGGTGACATCTGAACAGAGGCCTCAAGGACACAAGGCAGGAAGTCACAAGGACACAGAGGACAATACAGGCAGAGGGAAGCACAGGCAAGCAGCCTCTGAGATGATGCCAGGGGACACTGAGGTCAACAGAAGGATGTATCAGCACAGTGAACCAGAGCCTAAAATCTTCAGGGAATGAGGCAGAGTGACCTGATGCCTTTAGATGCTTCCACAAAAGGGGCAGAAGGTGATATAGGCTGAGGGTTTAAGTGTCAAAGTCATAGAGTTTTAGGGAGGAGAGAGGGATAATACTTTGGTGTAGTGATGAAGGCAGGCAGGAGATCTGTGCCACTCCTGCCCACAGGTGAGAAAACAGGCAGGATGTGAGAGCGCCTCAGGGAAGAAGGGTCCACTGGTGACAGAGGCTGCTAGGTGTTCCCCCCAGGCCACTAAGATGGGACAGAGAGAGGAGAGTCAACCACCTGATACCTATTACTATAGCAAGGCATTTTAGACAAAAACCAAGGACTATAGCAGCAGAGAGCAGAGTGGGGTCCTTCTAGTATCAGCATCAGAAAACAGCACAGGTCTGAGAATTAGTTAAACTCTGCCTTAGGTATTTCTGAGTTCATAGTCATGAAATTGTGGCTTTACCTTTCCTTTCATTTTCATACTTTTAAAAATTATAGTAACTTCTCTGTCTTTATAAATAAGCTTCATTTAACTATAGAGCTAACTCAATTCTTTCAGAATTTTTCGGAGCTCAAAAATTGCTACTGATAATGCAAACAGACAGAAACGTCATACAATAAATACATGTAAAGTGTTTTTACCTATAGACAGCAAGGTCCAGGATGATCTGCTTTTCATTGTCGTTCAAAGAGAAGTCAATTCTAAGAATAATAAATTGGGTGGGGGAAGATGTCTTTAGGATACTGTATAGATAATCCCATCACAAAATCAGAAGCAAGTTAGATAATAATTATATAATAATATCCAATGACAACTTATTTTGGTGGTTGGAAAATCAAATATCAATGCTAATTTTAAAATTTCAGGGAGACCTATAACATATTAATAAATTATTTGTGTTTACAGTGTTTAAATGTGAGAATCTGAAGGTAAATTACACACAAAAAATTAGCTTTGGTGCAGAGATAGAGACATCTGGTGGCTAAAGTTTTCTTTTCCATTTCCTGTGAGTTTGCCATAAGCAAACTGAAACAATGGAATTATTTATGGAAAACTGAAGTTGCTTTTGCCTCCCCTTTAACCAGCATTCTATTTTTTAAGTTTTAAAGAGTCTTGCATTCCGTGTTTTTTCTTGCTGTCTTTTTTCTTCTCCTTTCATTACCGACCTTTCCAATGCCCTGAAAAAGGCTGAGAGACTGCCCATCATCTATTACCTCTGTTTTACAGATGAACAAACAGAGGTTCAGAGACTGGCATAGCTGAATTATAACAAATGTCTTTGCACTTTGGCTGCATGAGCCTGGCTGGGCAGGATTTCATGGCCCTACATCTTTCAACTGTTCCCTGAGGCAGAGTCCTCGGTTTAGCTTCCACACTGTCAACATACTATCAGAATCGTCTGGTCAATTTTCTTTTGAGCATTACACTTACTGTATTACTCTATAAAATATACGACTCAACAATATTAAAGAACATAAGTTAAATTGTTTAGGAAAATGTAAAGTTTGTGATAGATTTGACTGTTAGCAGCATTTCTGCTTGTGACAGGCACGGTCTCATTGCTTTCAATAGTGCAGGCCTGTGGGATTTCTTCAGGGTCTCAAATGACCCATGCATTTATAGAACCTCATCTCAGGGCCTTTTTATGTGCTCCTGCTCTGCCTCAATTGCTTATTACTTGCAAAGTAATTTCAGAGAAGTTTCCTAAGGCAGAGATTGCTCTTTTGTTGCTATCTGCTTCCCCTTTATTCCTAGTAACAGGAACCATGGTTTTAACTAGGTGCATGGCTATATATAGTAAAGGTTGTATTCTATGGCCTCCCTTGAAGGTAGGTGAGGTCATGTGAGGCAAAGGTGTTGTATGGCACTTTCTAAGAGTATCCCTTAAGAAAAGGAGCATGTATCCTTTCTTCCCTTTTTTCTTTTTTATTCGGCTGAGTAGAACAGAATGTAGGAGGCCAACAGTTGAACCATGGGGACTGCTTAACAAGCAATTACAACTGTCTGAGCCAAAGGTAGTGTTGGCTAGCGGTGGTGGTGGGGTCAGTGAGATGTGGCTGGATTCTGACAATATCAAAGGAAGAGTTCATAGGGCTCACTGATAAAATGAGAGAAGAAGAATCAAGGGAGAATCCAAGGTTTCTGGTCTTAAACAAGGGGTGAACGTGTGTTACTGAGATGGAGAACACAGGGACACAGCACGCTATGCTGGAGAGTGGTAGGGAGGCTGGAAATCAGGGGTTATTTTTTAGCCCTAATAAGTTTGCGATGACTCTTTTACATCCACCCAGTGATGTCAAACAGCAAACGGAATACACATATCTTGAGCTCAGAGAAGAGGTTGGATCTGGTTAGGAGCATCGTAAAGAGAGTGTTTACAGCCATGGGATTTGGTGAGAACCCTGAAGAGTGAATGCAAAAAGAGAAGACAGCTGAGGAGTTTGCTACAGAGCATCAAAAAAACAAAACCAAAAGGATCCATCAAAGTTTCGGAAGATGAGCAGTCAGTATGGTAGAAGAAAAATCAGAAGCAAAGGAAAGAAATTGCTTTAAGAAGGATGGTGCTGAACAACGTCATCCAAATCTGCTTTGTCCAGTAAGACAAAGACTGAGAATTGAACATGGAACGTGGAAATAACATGGCTAAGGAAGATTCAGGATGATGGAATACACAGAAGTGGTTTCAAGAAGGAATGTGAAGTTAGAAACTGGAGACTGAGTGCAATTCCACTAAATAGGGGCAGAGAAAAAGCATTGTGGCTGAAAGGGAAACCAGGGGAAGGGAGGTTGTTGCTTTCATTTCCTTTAAAACAAAAGATTGTTACAATTTGTTTGCACATGGGTGAGATTGATCTAGCAGAGTGGAGAGAACTAGTGCAGAAGACCCAGGATAACTGAGCAACCAAGTCCCTGATAATAAGAGGGGATGTAGCCACAGTGCTTACAGAGACTGATTTCTGATGGGAAGTTCACTGACAGCAGCAGAAGAGAGGGGAGTACATGGGACAGGTCCAGAAACACTGTAAATTGGATATAGGGAGGAAAAGAAACCTCCTGATTGCTTTTTTTTCTCAATGAAATAGGAAACAAGGTCCTCAGTTAAAACTATGGAAGTGTCAGATGATGTTGGAAGTAAGGAGAGAGAAGGTATGAGAGCAGCCTGCAAGAGAGTGGAGAATGGACAACCCAAGAAAATATAGGAATATTGCCAGAGTCCATTTGAGATCTGTGATTATGAATTTAAGGTAAGACCAGCAAGTAGAGGTGAGTGGTCTCCTCCAGCCATGTAGGAGGACCAGCTCAAGAGTGGATACTGTGCTAGATTTAAATGGGGTTGGGGTTTTGTGAGGTGAGGATGATGGAAAGAGAGAAAGCAAGAGAGCTGAAGACATATGCCAACGACTGATTTTCTTTTTCTTTTTTCTTGAGAGAGGGTCTCACTCTGTCACCCAGGCTGGAGTGCAGTGGCGTGATCTCAGCTCACTGCAACCTCCGCCTCCTGGGTTCAAGCGATTCTTATGCCCCAGCCTCCCAACTAGCTGGGATTATAGGCATGTGCCACCACGCCTGGCTAATTTTTTATTTTCAGTAGAGACTCGGTTTCACCATGTTGGCCAGGTTGGTCTTGAACTCCTGACCTCAAGTGAACTGCCTGCCTCGGCCTCCCAAAGTGCTAGGATTATAAGCATGAACCACTGCACCTGGGCCAAGGACTGATTACTTTGATGAACCATAAAGCAGGGCCAGAGATGAGGGGATAGGGACAGTAAGAAAAATAGGAGCATGAATTATCTTACGGTCTTCATGAGGGCACGTGGTTGTTAGAGTGGAGGGAGTCCCACAGGAACATAAGAAATGGGGTCTAGTGAGACACTCAAGGTGAAGTTTCTGAGGTGGAAGAGATGTGGATGGTGGCAAATCTAGGAATGAAAATGGAATCGTGTGGCTGAGCTGAGATGGAGAAGTGAGCTGGTTGGGGAACTGAGAGGCCAGGGCTTCTGGTGGATCACCTACATGTTTGATAAAGTCATCATCTAGACCAATGATGGCAGGAGAGGCAGAGAGAGACACTGGTCTGGGTGAAGTATCCTCAATGAGTTGAGAGGCAGAGGGTTGAGGGTTGATCAGGGTGATGTACATGACTGTGGGAAGAAGGCGTAGGGGTGGCGTATCTACATGGCTTGTGCTTCAACAGAGAAAGGGAGAAAGATGGCCTGAAAGTGGAGATAGGCTGTAACTGTCCCCATGGTGTATGTGATGAGAAAGAACAGTGGACAGCCACAAAAGCGAATCCTCTGCTTCAGTTAGTGAAAGAGGAGAAACAGAGGAGGCTTCAGGCTTTGCTGACCAAGCTCAAGTTCCAGGGGCACAGGGAAAATTGGGAGATCCAGGAGGGGTGAGAATGAGTTGAGTTGGATCAGCGCCATGTAGCTATAATATTCTGGATGGTAGTGCATGACCTGGGTAGTGCAGGAACAGGGATGATCACATGGCGGGAGGCAGTGCAAGTGGGAAGGTGGTGCGTAATCACCCTCTGTGGAACTGGTTTTAGGGGCAGGTGAGGCTGCAGTGTGTGGAAGGAGTGGTGGTCTTACCAGGAACACATGGAGTATCAGAAGTCTACCTTGAGCTCTGTTGCAGGCTAAAGAGAGACGGCCTAAACTTGGTTTCTGAACTCCAGGAGGTCACAAAGAAACCTATCATAGTCACTGCTCTATCCAGTGCCTGGCCTAGCGTTCTGTCTTGCATTCCTGTCGCTGACTGTGGGTAAGAGGAAGACATTATAAATATCATCCTAGAAATCATTAGAACTAGGTTAGCATGAGCAACTCTGGAACGCCACCTACTAGTCATGTGACCTTGGCAGGTCACTTCACCCCTCTCAGGCCCAGGTTCTGGACATGTGAAAAACAAATACTGTCTACCACCTGGGATTGCTGTGAAGATAAATGATGCCCTGGAATAATTCAAGATTGTGCCTTCACCGTGGTCATGACAGGGCAAATGAAATGGTGGCGGGAAATAGGTTTGAATAATAAAACGAAGTGAATGAGATTTAGTCTGTAGGCTCTCTCTGTAGGCTACAAAAGGCTTTTCTGTCCTGCTTTCTATTTTCAAACTTTAAGACAGACAAACAGAGTAGATCAGATATTATTATACTTGAATATTTCCAGTTTGAGTATCTTTCCTCGCATTAAATTCGTTGAGGTTATTATACTGATTTCCTTCCCTAGCTCTCACATGTTTTGTAGATGTTCTCCAGAGTATAAAGTAGATGTATAGGAGGTGCATCAGTATTCTCAGCCAGCTTGCTCATGGCAGAGTTTTAAAAATTCATAAACACAATAATAATGCGGTAGCAATTTTCAGGCATAAAACTGTATATGGTCCAAAGTTTCATGGGGTACATAAATAACTAAGATCTCCATATGTCAAGATCATTTTCTAGATGCCAAGAAAATTATTCATTCGAAAACATAATAGATGTTCTTCCTTTACATGTGCACAAAATGACATTATTTTTGGACTCGTCAAACTTGTTAAGAGCAGTCAGATAGATTCTTTGCAGAGCAAACCTGGAATTGAAACAATGATTGACCAACACCACGACTTTTGCATCTCTAACTCTCTACTTGGCCTCACATACTTGGGCTCATTTACATTCAGAGCTTTCCCATTTTCAGTGATCAAAGTCCTGGGTGGTTTCACTTTCTTCTTTTTTTCACTTAAGATTGGTGGTGGGTGAGAACAAGAAGCAGTGTGGGGAGAAAAAAATAAGCAAAGAGAATATATAATTAATACGTTTTTGTGAAAC